AGAAATAACAATCCGTTGCATGACAAAACGGTCGACGCCATATGGTGGGCTTGTCAAAGGACAAATAGCGACTGACAGATAACAAATAAGTGAGTTCGTAAGTAAGACATTATCACTTATCAAAAATAGATGAAGTAAGATAATGTCGATCAGGAAAGAACAAAGCACTACCATGCTGTACATAAATTGTTTATATGAAAGTTATTCAAAAAATCAATTTACCTTGCGCCTGACATCCACCTAGCCAAGCACGTTTTGCACGAACTACATAATACTTTTGGAATCCACGGTTCGTCAAAGTCTCCAGGATCAATTTTAAAATAAAGCCTGTATGCAGTTTGAAACGAAGCAGTGAAATTGACCGATTTTGTAAATGTATAGTTGCCACACGCGTAACAAAACTTTTGAGGATCATTTTTACACTTGAATTCACGTTTTGTCGTATACATCGTTAAGCAATGTTAAAGAAAGAAAGCTGTCAAATTGAGTTGGTTGCGTTAGGTTCTCGCCGAGCGGTCTCACAAACACTAGCGTAAATTATATTGTTGAAAATATCCCATTTAATTTTGCGTGACAGCTGGTAGTGTTAGTGAAATGCACCGTATGCGTACACGTCCGCAGAAAGGCTTACTGGAAGTGGTGCATGAACCTAGGAGCGGGACAACGGCCAATCTTGGAACATTCAACTTCCATGATTTTACAAAAAATTTCATAACTTCGACAATTTCCAACCGATTTCATCCATTAAAGGCTCATTTTCTCCAGTTTTTAATAGACTTTAAGAATAAATTATGGAATGATTTTTTGAATCTTTTTATCCCATGTAAAATGTTGATTAAATCAAAATTTTTATGGAAAATTCGCAGGAAAAATAAAAAAAAATGCTGTAAATTTTTAAATGACTTCAAAATTAAATTTTTAATTAAGACGTGAACGATAGAAAATTTATTTAGCTTCATTTTCATAAAAAAAGATTTGAAATTGGTGTACTAGTTCCAAAGATATTGACATTTTAGTAATCGTACTTTTGTCCAAAATTCAAAAAATTAAAAATTTTGTATATCTCAAAAATGGCTCTACTTTAATTTTTTCTGACCACGGCATTGAATTCAGCGTAGGATTTTGCATTAGAAACGTTGGTCAACCACTAAAGTTCACACTTTTTATGTTGTTTTGTAAACTAGTGTAATTTTATCACTGTTTTCATAAAACAAGCCTTTTTCCCAAACCCAGTCATCATAAACGAATACCACTTGATTGCACATCATTCTGCTTGAACCTGAAAATATATAAATCAGCGCTGCTCTCCTGTCTCTGCTCATTGAAGCGGTACTGACGGCGTGGCACTAGGTCCTGCAGCAAGCAGGACCAAGTCAGCTGCCAAAGGTGGATCACCCCAATGAGGAATGAGACTTGAAAAAACGTGCATGTAAAACCCCCTCCCCCTTAACAACCTCTCCCGCCCCCCCTTAACATAACCCGAAAAATACATGGACTTTGAAGATCATTTTTTTCTGGGAAATAAATTTTAAGCAAACCGCAATTATGTATAAACAATTAATTTTTTACATGCAGAGCCAGCATTTTCAAAAAAAAAACATTGCTTGACAGGAGACATACACTCGATGAATAACCAACAACTGACTGTAAAACATATCTGGTAACTCTATATATGCAATTATATTAACATCCAAAGTCCATCCTTTTTTCCACATTCTGCACAAAAGAAACGTTCTGCCCAACCCCCATTCATAATAAAATGGCGAGAAATCCTGTCAGTTGCGGGGCTTAGAAAGTATGTTTTGTGCAGAATATGTAAAAAGGAGGGACTTCGGATGTATTTTTTCTGCAAAATATGTAAAAAAGGAGGGACGTCAGATGTTAACCTAAATGCATATATCATGCATCATAGATAGAGATAGATAGATAGGTTCTACGTCATACTGCGGTCGTGTCTAGGTCACAACTCTTTAATTTTTTTTTTTTCAAAACGTTTTTATCAGGCGCAAGCCATTTCAAATTTAGCGGTTTTGTATCGCTGATCATGGGCGCTGATCAGGGACGCAGACTATTTCAAATTTTCACCCAAACTTGTCTACCAGGGTCGCAAGCCACTTGAAATTTAACATCTGTATTCAACTTTTTCCACAACTTGTCTACCAGGGCCGCTAGCTATTTAAAATTTTATTTTATTTTTAAAATTTTCCGGGTTTAACATTTTTTTAAAATTATAGTCACTTTAACGCTCTTCCCGAGCAGGAGAAAATAACTAATGAATACCTAATTCTGACCTGATATCAAAATTTGGTATTGATCAGCATGACATAAGAGGTAAAATACCAAAGAATAATACCAAAAAATTACATGCAAAATACTTTGCAAATAACAAAAATTGATATTTGGATACCAAAAGAATACCTGTGTGGTATTGTTTTGGTATTGCAATATCATAATTTGGTATTGGAATGGTATTGTGGGAACATTTTTTTGGTATAATTTTTTGGTATTTTACCTCTTATGTCAGGTTCATCCATACCAATTTAAGGTAACGAGATATTTGTTCCTGCTCGGGTTGGGTCATTCGTGACTTGTCCGGGAGTGAGATTTGAACTCGTGACTTTGGTGTGAGAGGTACGCCGGGGTCGCCGCTCAGATTTAACATTTTTTTTTTCCCTAAACATGTATATTAGGGGCGCTATCCACTTTAAATTGAACGATTTTAAGCATAGTTGGTGTAGGTGCAAGTTATTTCAAATATATCCTTTTTAAATGTTTTCCAGAACGTGTTTATCAGGGTCGAAACATTTAAAATTTTACGATTTTGATTATTTGTCTCTGAACTTGTCTACCAGGGGCGCTTGCCATTTCAAATTTACTGTTTTTTAAACTTTCCGTCGATCTTTTTTCCCTCCCCTCTCGCTTTGGCGCAGACCGTGTTTATGTCGATCTTGTTAATTGAGGGCGCATATTTTCGAGGGGACTGACTTGGATCCAGTGTATTTTAAATATATAACATTTGCGGTGATATTTTGCTCTCATTTATTGCTGTATTTTACCTATTTTTTCGGTTTGCAGCTAAGTAGTCGTCGACTACCCTTGACTACCCACAACCACAGCACTGATCAAAACATTGAATAGGTGGAGAATCTGTATACAAGCTTTTGCTCTGACTTTGATATTCAATAATTGAGTCCCTCGAATTTTCAATTAATGTGGTACTAAGCACCCACTTATTGGAAACCAAACGTTCACAGTATTCTATTTTGCATCATTCAACGAACACGCTACATAATGATGATGCATGATAATTTTATGTTAGAGTTGTCCTCCAATTTTAAGAACAAAGAGGTGCTTAAACCCCGTATGATCGTTATACCACTTCCTCCCCTACATAGCTGACATATGAACCAACAATTTGTTCAATATTGAAAACACCGTCTTCTGATAAGGAACACAGCTGCCTGTTGCGTTATCATAAAAAAAACAACCTTCACTCTCTTCTCCGCTTCAGAGATCTAATTTAAACTAATGATGGGGCTACTGAAGAAAAACAAAACTTAATTCTTGGCAATTGTTCTATCCCTGCTTTGTGGACTAAACTGGGGTGCTACTCTAAAATATATAACGGCTTGTTTAGGAGCCCACATTCGACTTTTCATAATTTATTACATTCCAGGAAAACTACTTGAACCAACATAGAACCATAACCCGAGCAGGAACCGATACCTAAATAATCGATAAAAAATGAATATCTTAATGTGGTATGATACCAGATTTCGGTATGCTTGTGGTATAAAACCTTGTTTTCATATCATTCAGTTATCGAAATATTTTGTAAAATATCAAATGAATACCAAATTTACAAAATGTGATCTTTAAGTGTTTAGACAATAACACCTAAAGGAGTTATTTAATTGGTATTAGAAGACCTTCAAAATAGCAAACTATGGTATTCTGGCATCTAAAAAGGCGTCTGTTATCCGTTTGTTTTTTTTAATGACTTAATTATTTATTAGTTCGTTATTCGTAGAATATTCTTGACGTATAATTTTTTTGTATTTTACCTCTTATGTCAGCCTCACTAATACCATATTTACACACTTAGAAATTATCGCCAACTTCGGTAATTTTTACCAAAATCTGAACAGCTGAATCGTTCGGTAAAATTTATGCAATTTAATTCAATTGCTTTTCAGCTACTTTGAAACTAAATTTCCACTGAAATGACAAGATTTGATCATTTAAACAAGGATGAACATGTTTTGAAATTATTTTCAAATTCAATAGCCTTTAAAATGATGGTACAAGTTTTACCGAACGTTCAGCTGTTCTGATTTCGGTAAAATTTACCGAACACGGAAACAAAATCTTAGTGTTTAGGTTGCCAGTTATGCTATTTTCGTACCTTAATTTGGTATTAATAAGTTATTTTTTCCTGCTCGGGTACCAGATCATTGAAATACTTGAATTTTTTTTTAGATAAAGTATAATAGTCAAAAATGCATGGCATACATCAATTTTGCGTATTTCTACGTCATACTGCGGTCGTGTCTAGGACACAACCCATTATTTTTTTGGAATTAATCTTTGGTATTTTACCTCTTATGTCATGCTGATCAACACCAAATTTTGGTATTCCGTCAGAATTAGGTATTCTTTAGCTATTTTCTCCTGCTCGAGCTCCATGGCACTTGATTGGTAATCGACGCTCGTCGGTGATTAGAACTCGATTGCGTAACAAAACCGATGCTAGTTTAAAAAAACTACTTCCCGTTTGACGAGATGAACTAGCGAATGATCTAAACATATCGCTAATAAAGTTAAAAAAAAATACTTACCATTTGATTAACGCTTCTAAGCTTGTAGACTTTTGACGAAAAGTAGAAATTGAAAAAATGCTAAACGCTACGACTTCTGCCATTCCAACGCTGATGAAAAAAGGGGATAGAATTTCTTTCACAGAGAATACCACTTCCGGGGCAAATGAAAACATGTGTGAATTTGAAATTTTTAACATATACATATTTTTATTTTGAGCTTTCCTTTTTAAAATTTTTAAAAATTGCATTTAAATAATAATTGATTTTTTATATCTCGTATAATATATATTTATATCTATATTTATAGATTTTGTTTTACCTTACTGTGTTCTTTTTTCATATTTTTTTTCTTGTGCTTTTTTTTCATCATGATCATCATCATTGCTGTTGGTGATGTTCTGTTTCCAGTTATGCTTGAAAGTTCTGCGATTTTTGCTGTTGTGTATGTGGCGAAATTAAAACCTTACAAATGGATAACAAATTTGCGCACCCAACCGGTGCTGGCATTCTAAATCAAGGAAGTTTGATACAGCGGAAAATAAACTGGGTGGTGGAGAAGAGATGATAGCTGTTTTATTTTTGCCATTACAATCGTTAATCGGAGGCGTACGCTACAGTCAACGCTACGTTCTGTGTTGAAATAAATCAACTTTTCGCTCTGTTTATGTTTATTTGTGTTTTACAATTGTTTTTGTTTTTTTTGTTGCTGTTATTCGATATCACTATAAATACACTGGTTTCTATTAACTTATCAATGATTTCTTTTATTTTACTAACTCGCTGATGGTTTGCTGGTTTAGTTCATTTGATTTTACATTATGTGAATTTGGATGCTGATCCATTTCCTCTTGCTTTGCTCTTAAGAGTGATTTGGTTGATCTTTTTCCCAATACTTATTGCTAAGCCTAATATTTTATATTATCGTTCGAAATTTACAATTTTCCAATTTGACTTCTCATGTTTCCGAATTCATTCGTATCCACATTTTTTTTTAATTATTACGTATACCTTTTTAGTACTTGTAGTTCCAATCGACTTATCAAGATGACTGTTTTTGTTTTACTTAATAGAGTTTCGTATCATTGATTTGATTTTCATGTTTTTTTTCCACGAGTATACCATTGTAGCAGGATTTTATTCTTTTTTTTCCGTATACAACGTTGCTCTTCGTCGCTCGTATCGCTTGCATTTTTCATTCACTTTTTTTTTTAAATAATACTATTTTAGGTTTTTAAATTTGTTATTTTGTTTACTGCAAAGAGAAGTTTTTATTTTTAATAAATACGTTTTTTGCGTGGCTTTTATTGTATAGTTATTTTCATTTACCCTACTTGTGGTATGTATTTATGTTAAGTCTAAAACTTTTCAAATTATGTACCTCTAGGCTGTGTTCAATTTTCAATCAAAGGTATACCTTATCGTTCGTACGTTGCTTTCTATTTTTTTTTCTGACGCTACAAGTTTGAAAGTGTTTTCAACTTCTATTTTAATCATTTATGTTTAGTAAATATTTACAACACATTTTTCGCTGTTCTAAAACAGGGTATGATACGATAAAATCTCTTTTCAACAGAATCAAACAAAAACTAAGACGGTTTCCGGGTAGTTTACGCGCTGTACAGAATCAAAAAGCAGTCATTTTTTTACAGAAATCACAAAAGGTATTTTCTTAGAAGTAATGAAAACAAACAAAAAGTAATATTTAAACAAAAGTACATTAACACGTAATAAATGCAAATCTGGGAGCATTGGAAGTTAGTGGTTCTCAATTCATCAATGTGTGAGGTTCTGTAGAACAAAGCAGTTAAGTCAAAATTCTGCATGTGTCAAATATGAAGCTTTTGTTTTCGCGCTATTTTGATTTTTGTTTTGCTTATACTGCTGTTTTTTTTTTATGGGAGAGAGATGCTCTAGCTCTTTTCCCTATTTATAGGTATACTGAATTTTGGCACGCAAATGTAAGTATGTTTGTAATACTTCTTTTATTTTTATGTTTTGTAATGTTTAATGGGTCGGAACGAAATACCAGATTTCTTCAAATAGTATGATCCTTTTTTTTTGTCACCGTATACCAAAAGTTTCAACTTCGTATAATTTGTTACTGTGGCCTTTTACTTCAGCTTATCGATTATTTCTTTTCCATTTGGGGTCAGAATTGATATAATACTTATTTTTGTTTTCGAGTGTAAATTACGTATACCAAATTTTCGATTGAAATTGAATAATTTTAACGTATTTTGCTTCATGCAGAATGCTTCACAATGTTGTTCTCTAGTTAGATCTCAATTTGTGTGTGTGTGTTTTTTTTTGTTTATCGTATAGCTTGCGTGATGTTTATGTTTCCTTCTGCTGTAACTACTTAGGAGGAGATTCTTAAGGTTTCTTTTAGTTGTCGTATGTATTTTAATGACTCGTATAGCTTGATTACTTTTGTTTTTTTTTTTACAATAAAATTCACGTTTCTGCCGTAAAAACTCAATAAGAATGACATTCTGTACAAAGTATCCATCGTTTTGTTTTCTCAGTAGCAGTTCCACGTTTCAATTTGTATACCAAATTTGATAATGTTCTGAAGATCTCAACGCCAAATGTTTTACATTCTTTGTTCTTTTGGAGAGCCCGTTTTGTGCTTGATTTAGCCGAAATGTGGTGTGAAAATCAATTGAAATAAATTAACATCATTTTTTCGTTCCTAAATCATGGTGATATGTGGAATCACATGTTTCAAGAAAACTTTTGAAATCTTCGGAGTTTTTCCCATCAGGTCTTCTCGAATTGTCATTCATCAAGGAGAGAATGAGAGCACATCAACAGACATGATATATTGTTCGAGCGTGAACGAGAGCGATTAGTTACACATTACTTACTGCATCCATCCAACTTGCAGAACGAGAAACGATCGAAGCCCGCGAGGTTTGTTCCATCTTTCAAAGACCCCATGCAAACTCCATTTTGTTTTTGCTGCAGCCAGCGAACGGCCTTCCGATGGCTTTCCGTCTGTATGTTACCCTTTCCATCTTCCTCTCGTCAACTGCTGCAAGCCCAAGCACACACAGGTCTACTATTCCGCTGACGTTGGTTTTATTTTCTTGATTGATTTCTTCTCTGTCCTCCTTCTCACATCGAAAAAAAAAATAATCAAAACTGCACTCTCCAACTGAACTCACACTTTTGCAAGTTGCGCTTTGCTCTACTTCATATTCCCTCTCCGGCGACTTGTGTGTGCTGCAGCAGCAGTGGCCTCGTTCGCCGTTTATATGCAGAGCTTGCATGTGTTGGAGTTCCTCCTCAAACACTTGGCGAGCGGCTGCCGATGTGTATATATAAAAGTCATTAAAGCGAGTGATTTAAAAGAAGCGGAAAAAAGAGATTCACCAACACTTCTAAAGAGGCCGCGTCAGATTGCATATAGAAGTAAAAAAAAAACCTGCTCCCGTCGGCTTTGCCGCTTCTGTTGTTGATCACCACCGCTCGACGGCGACCCTACCATCCTACACTCTCTCCCTCTTCTCTTGTTCATTTCTTCGCCGTTTACATTCCTTCAAGTGGTTATTGAACGCACCCATAGCAGAAATGGATACACACATAAATACGTTATTTACTGCTTCGTTTTCTTCGACTCTCGCTCTCTCGCTCACGCTCGAACAGTTTTCCTTTGCTGTTTTGCTTCATCTTCTCCTTCTTCGTTTCGACACCGTCCGTCGTACGTACACAAAACATGCTCTCGCTCTATCGCGCTGGCCGTCCATCATCGTTCCGACAATTCAGCGGATTATATTTACATAAATACAGAACAACAGGAAAACGAAACAAACCTACCGGATTTGACCGAAAGCGCGTATGCAAACTTAGGAATGTCAGACGTATTTGGACGACAATTGCTTGGCCAATTCGGTGTACTTGAGAAACTTGGAGTGTGGACTTTCGTCGTATCCCGACGGTGATTGCGCCGGAGGTGGGCTCTTGGTATGACCAATACCAACACCAACACTGCTGCTGCCACTGTTCGATGGAATGGGAGTACCACCACCGTCGGACCGATGTACACTGTCACGACCACCGGCCGCTCCGCTCCCGGTCGATTTCGGCGAAAGCGGAGAGTCCGGCTTCATCGCCGCTGGACCCTTGGGATCGGGAATCACGTCATCGTTGACAAAGTGAGCCTTCGAAAGATGATGCCGGTAGGCTCCCTTCGAGGTGAACGTCGTATCGCAATAGGCACACTTAATTACCGATTCGTCCGACATTACCGCGTCGTTGCAAGCCCAGCTGAATGCCAGTATCGCACCGGGAGCGGTTCTACTCCCCGACGCATTCGTCGTTGCCGAAAGCAGTCCACTACTTGACCCACCCCTCGCACTCGGAGTATTCTCCGTTTTATCACAAAGCTTCTGCAAAGCAGCCAACGGATGGGCACTTGACTTTTTTCCCGTTCCGCTAGATTCCGCACCGCCCGCATTATTCACTCCGGTCAAACTGTCGAACATCGATGACAGAGCTCCCAAACTGCTACTCACACTTGAACTTGACGCTTTCTTACTACCACCACCGCCACCACTACCACCTTCCGCCCCACCCGGTGTCGATCTCGAGGTAATGGAATGATGATCACTGATTGGACTAGCTGCTGGACTCAACGGAACGCTTGCCGTCGCCTGCCGTGGACTCGGCGCAGGACTGGACGCCACACTATTCCTTCTTCTCATCTCCTTCTCCGAATCCGACATGTCTTCGTTCGACTTGCTCGGTGGTCGCATCGATCCTGGCTCGTCATCCTCATCTACTTCTTTTTTGATTTTAATTTTCGGTGGTTCATGCTTCACTGCTTCCTCTTCGTCGTCACTTTGCATCTCTCGCTTGATATTCATCGCCCCTTGTTCGTCACTGTTGTTATGATCATCCATGAATTGCTTCTCCGGTGTTCCCCTTGGCGTCGAGTGACCAGGAGTGTCAAATTTTTTCTCCGGTGTCAACGAATCCACCCGACTAGATCCCCGTTCCGAAATGGAACTCGACTCGCTTCCACTCCTTTCCCGCCTTCCAAACTGCGCTACATACTGCTGTTGGTGATACGATCTCAGCAAGTTCATCGTCTGTGGATCCACCAACGGTTTAGTATAGTCAACACTCTCGTCGATTCCTAGCCGCTTCAGGATGCTCGATCCCAGTGGAGTAGAGCTCTGACTGTTGTTGCCAAAGTTGGTGTTCGGATTCCTCGAGCGTGTATCGAAACTCTTCTCAATCAACTGCTCGATCGCGTTCAGCACCGATGGGGAAGAACTTTTGCCTCCGTCCTTCTTGGTCGACGCCGGAGAGGACAAATCCGCTGGCATGGGCGATTTTTGCAGCGAAAGTGGTGATGATAAATCATCTCCCACCGATTTTCGACCATCCCGGCTCGAAGGTGTAACGGGACTTATCGAATCCGGTGGGATGATTGTATTGGAGAGGAGGGCATTCTTGAGCTTTTCCCGCTGCTGCTGAGCCTGGAGCAGCGCCGTTCCGTCGATGCATTGTCTGATATGATCCACGAACATGGTGGTTTCGATCTTCTCATTGCACTTTTCACAGGTGATTTTACCGGCCCCTAGATCACGGATTGGCTTATTCGCAGCAACGTTCGTCACTGGACCTTCCCCGTTCTTAAAATCGTGCTGTGCACGTTCCATTTCAAGCAGCTTGCGCACCGGAAGTGACTTCTTCCGTTTTTCCCGCGTCTGACGACGTCGGCCACCGGTTTCCGTAATCGATCGCATTATGTGCTCCTTATAATGGGCGTTCTTGACCATGTGATTGCTGAGTTCTTTTAGCGAGGAGAAAGCTTGGTCGCAAACCTTACAGGTCAGGACTGCACTCACATGACTGTTGGCTTGTGCGGGTGGTGCATTGGGTGCTCCTGGAGGAGCTGGTGTATTTCCTCCTCCGCTGGGTCCTGGAGGACCCCCGGGTTTATCGTCCGTTGACTTCCAAGATATGATTTGTTCTTGTGAGATAATGTTGGTGTAGTGTTGCGTCTGCTGCATATGAGTGGTCATTTCGGCAAGAGTACGGAAGCTTTGACCGCACCACATACACTTTAGGATTTGTCGAGTCTGTTCGGCCCCTTTGCCAAGCCATACGTCCTGGCCGCGGACCAGCTTCCGAGGAAGAGGCATCGTTTCCTTAATCAATAGGTTCAGTTCACTGGGTGATGGTTTATTGGAAGCACTGCTGCTCATGTGGGAAGCGGACGAATTCGGTGGTTGTTGATGCATGTGCTGTTGAGGCATTCCTGTACCGGGAGGAACGTTGACTCCGCAGTGTTTAGTTTCCTTCATGTGAGTAGTCAAGGCGGCTAGCGAAGGGAAGCTCTGCTTGCACCAAACACACTTGAGGACGTCCTTGGCCGAATCGGCCCCTTTGTTGAGCCAATGTGACTGCCAAGCACTGTGACGGCCACCGCCAGCGGTAGACCCTCCACCACCACCACCGCTTCCACTGTTGTTGTTCGAAGGTCGGTAGATTTCATCCCCTCCCAAGCGACTCATTTCGGTCATCTTCTCTAAGGCTTTCGCGGCTTCATTTGTGACACCTTTGTGTTTGCCGTTCCAATCGGTGTGATTGTTCTTGGGAGACATACTGGCGGCAGCAACAGCGGCCGCAAAGTATGGTAGTTGCGATCCGACCGGAGAACTCCAAGGACTCACTATTGACGGTTTGTAGTCTAGAGAACGAGCAGCTTTCCTCGGTGGAGGCGATTCGGAGTCATCACCGGATCGTTTCCGTGTGCTAACCGACAAATCCAGCGGACTGTTGTCACCGGATTTTGCGCTCAGATTGACGGCGTCTCCATCTTCGCAGTCGCTGTTGCCGTCCTCGTCGGCCGTGCCGCTGTCGGATCGTTTTTTGCTAAAGTCCAACACGGCATCGTCGCCACTCTCGTCGGTCGGGGACGCCAGCGGAGGTAGTATCGGCGGGGAACCGTTCCGAGCGGCTGCCAGTCCGGCCAGCGGCGAACCCAGCAGCAGCCGGTTCTGTTGCGCCGCTACGGCTGCCACGTTCAGATAGGCGGCCATGGCGGCTGAATGCTGAGGCAGGAGGGCGGCGGCGGCTGCTGGCGCTAGGGTGGGTGGGAGCGTGATCGAAACCGGGCTCACGTTGGCGCCCGAATTCTGCCCGTCCCGGTCGCCCTCGGAACGAATCGATTCGTCCGAGGGGCAACGTCCACCGCCGGATGACTCCCTCGATTGGCATCTAGGGCTGGCCATTTCACTGTGGGGGAGAAGAAGAAAATGAGGGATGGATTAGGATGATGTTCAAACGGTGGTAAAATGGTATGTTTTAGTCAGGCATAACATTTGATAACGGCACAAAAGCATTTGTACACAAACTTGTACACAAGGCCCCGCGAACCAAAGTACGCCCAAGTATAAAAAAGGATTTCGTTTTACTCGCTAAAAAACTGAAAGCCGATAAAAGTTCATTCTAGAGTTGCTTAGAAATTCTAATGAAATGTAATCATCAAAGTGCATAGGCTTTGAACATTTTGCAAGGTTCTTTTTTTTCCTCTGTTCGGCACCTAACACCACTGCGAAAAGTAATTTGATCTATTGTATTATATCCCGTGTCCTTAGTTTAGTGCATGTCGTATTACTCCATCACTATTGAGAAATGATGAAGTATTCGATTTTTTACAGTTGTCATTCTTGCATTTATCGTAAGGATCCGACTCTAATTGAAAGGTCCCACTATTTATACACTTCGGAGTATTGAAACACCCTCCAAAGGCGCGCCCCTTTTGCAGTCAAAATTGGATTCCTTAGCAACAAAATTAAGGAATGACACCGATAATGACCATGTATCAGAACCCTAGTCTTAACTACTTCAAACTAGGGAACAACGATTAGAAGATTAGGAATCACATAACTAACTCATTTTTTCCTTGTTTCAAGATCATCCTCGGTCCAGGCAACCCTAGGACTTATCACTATCAACAAGGCATAAAAAGTAACAAGGACTAAGATGTGTTCCTTTGATTACTGAAAAATCCTGTTCCCCTAGTTGAAATAGTCAAGACTACACACTTAGAAAAAATCATGTAAATTTATGTTCCCTGAGAATGACATATACGAGCGTCAATTTTGACATAAAATTGAGCAATAATAGATGCGAAGTTCAACTCAATCAAACTTACTTTTCGTCGAGTGCTGAACTTTTCAGTCTCGGAGAATTTAATTTTACATGACATGTTTGTTTACGTCTCATCCTTCATGTCAAAGATGGTTTCCGTCACGTGTAGAATTATGTATTTCTAAGTATGTAGGAATCGGTGGTAGATCTTTCATCCCGTAACGTACCACGGAAAGGTGATCCACCCACGTTACGGGGCAAATTATCGGCAGTGATTAGTATTGTCGCATTAAAGGCCCTTCACTCCATTTCAGCTTCTGTTCAATTTTCAAATTTCCGCAGTGCTCTAGAGGAACCGCAGTGCTCTAGAGGAACCGCAGTTCTCTAGCTAATAAATAACCGTAATAGAGTTTCATGTTAATATAAGTATAGCATTTTTACCCAATTGTGAAAACTCGTAAACTCGTACGAAGGCAAAAGAAATACTTCAAATCTCCTCATCAATGTAAGAGCTAGGTAAAGAAGTGTGCGTTTGACTTGTACTGTCGCATTAACTGACATAACCCCATGCCATAAAAACTTCCTCAAAGCCCCAAGGCTGCAAAATGCGTGTCGATTCATGGTTGACATGGTTGGTTCTCAATAATGCGATGATCAATCTTTATGATTTAGCCACCATTCCAAAGGTATGGCTATCGTCTTTCATTTAATACAGGTAGATACCCGATTGGACCTGTGATTGGCCATCCGGAACGGAAAAACCCGGAAAAGTCCCGAGCAAAATGCGTGTCGATTGAAGTTGACATGACTGGTTCTCGGTGATTTGGTTACCAAATTTCAAGATTGAGCCACTATTTGAAAGGTATAACTATCTACTTACGAACGAAACAGACAACGAACTGATTGCACTTGTGGTTGGCAAATCGGAACGGGAACACCCGCGAAAGGTGGCTCTGTGGAAATTCGGATTCACCGATAAAATGGTCAATTCCTGAAAGTAGACCTAGAGATCCGCGATTTTTTTCTAAATTGCAAACAATTATTAGCAGAGAAGAAATAAACCATCAACATATCAATTCTGCAACCAAGTGGCCAGAAAACGGTCCTCTGGATATCCGGAATCACCGGAAAAATAGTAAATTCTTGAAAGTAGACTTAGAGATCCACGATTTTTTCTAAATTGCTTACAATCATGAGCATAGAAGAAATAAACCATCAACATATCGATTCTGCAACCAAGTGGCCAGAAAACGGTCCTCTGGATATCCGGAATCACCGGAAAAATAGTAAATTCTTGAAAGTAGACCTAGAGATCCGCGATTTTTTTCTAAATTGCAAACAATTATTAGCAGAGAAGAAATAAACCATCAACATATCAATTCTGCAACCAAGTGGCCAGAAAACGGTCCTCTGGATATCCGGAATCACCGGAAAAATAGTAAATTCTTGAAAGTAGACCTAGCGATCCGCGATTTTTTCTAAATTGCTTACAATCATGAGCATAGAAGAAATAAACCATCAACATATCGATTCTTCAACCAAGTGGCCAGAAAACGGTCCTCTGGATATCCGGAATCACCGAAAAAAAAAATAGTAAATTCTTGAAAGTAGACCTAGAGATCCGCGATTTTTTCTAAATTGCTTACAATCATGAGCATAGAAGAAATAAACCATCAACATATCGATTCTGCAACCAAGTGGCCAGAAAACGGTCCTCTGGATATCTGGAATCACCGAAAAAACAGTAAATTCTTGAAAGTAGACCTAGAGATCCGCGATTTTTCTTAATTGCTTGCAATCATGAGCATAGAGGAAATATGACATCAACATATTGATACTGCTATCGGGTGGCCGGAATATGGTGCTCTGGATATCCGGAATCACCGGAAAAATAGCCAATTCTTAAAATTAAACCTAGAGATCCGTGATTTTTTAGAACATGTGAAGAACCCTTAGTTGAGAAGAGATATCTCAGTGCCATAGTGATCCGGTCCCCCGGTGGCCATAAAACACCCTTCTGGATATCCGGATGCACCAGAAAAATGGTCAATTCCTAAAAGTAGTCCTAGAGATTCGCGATTTTTTCCAAATTGCATACAATCTTGAGTATAGAGGAAATATACCACTACCATATAGATTCTGCCTGGGGTTGCTAGAAAACGGTTCTCAGGATATACGGAATCACTGGAAAACTTTCTCTGCAAGTTTTTAGAAAATGAATAGAGCGCTTATTTGAACAAATATGTCTCAGCGCGATATTGATTCGATCCCCCGGAAGCTATAAAAGGCCGGTAAAATGGTTGATTCCTTAAATTAGTCCTAGATGTCCATAATATTTTTCTAAATTGCGTACAATCTTGAGCATAGAGAAAAAATGCCATCACCATATTGATTATGCCACCATAAAACTGGATTTCCCGAATCACCGTAAAAGTAGTCATAAAACTCTGCGAGGAGGATACATCTCAGCACCATATTAATTCAAACACCCAGTAGCCATAAAACACCCTTCCGAATATCCAGATTCTTCATAAAAGTGGTCAGTTTTTGAATGTGTGCCTGGACCTATGATTTTTTGACTTTAATAAATGCTCAGAATGCTGAGAAAAATTGAAATTTATCTGCGTCATATCGATTCACTCACGTGGTAGTCATAGAATATTAACTTGGATATCCGGATTCCTCTGACAAGTGGTAGATTTCTGAATATGGTCCTGAGTTACCTGCTGTTCTATTTTTTTTTTGTTAACGTCGGTTTTCTGTTCCGCAATCTAGTGCCAATCACCGACGGATATAGATTGCCATCCATTGACGACAATCGAATGTGCAGAGAGGCAGCTTCCAAACCTGCGTAAGGATATCGTACCCATCAACGCATAAGGGCCGGGACCAACGGCTTTACTTCCCTTCCGAAGGAAGACGTGACCAGAGATTTTTATGCCTCAGAAAAATCCCACCGACCTCGGCTGGGATTGAACCCAGACCCATTGGGGTGAGAGAGCAGTCACGCTTACCCTACACCACCGGCGCCGAAAAAAATCTCAGTCCTTTCCTTGCAAATATTGACGAAATGTTTTTATTAGTTTACGTTATTTTTGTTTTACTAAGTAATACAAACAGATTCTTGAACTTTACCACCTTCCTCCTATACTTCATAACATTGACAAAACCCTGGCATAGATCGATGTCCGATGCAACACATATATTATAGATCTGGCCCAACAGATAGCTTGCTTGCATTAGCAGCAAAAATATTGTGAACATTGCTGAGCAAGCGTACAGTGACGACGCGTGAGACCTACGAACGTTCCATATAGCGAATATCCAACGTGACGTTACCACTGCAGTTCATGCAAAAAAAAGTAAACATTATGATAAAATACAAACACCACTAAACATTGCCTCATATCACTAACACCAACAAGCCAGTTGAGCAGGATCTTATACAAAGGACATCAGACAGCTATCCTCAGCATCTCTGTCATTCAATTATCTTATTGTCATTAGCCACAGTAACAGGAATGTTGTTGCTTCTGGCATTATTGCTTACCACTTTTTGATGTATACACATTCAGTTGACTTTCACCCACAGTTTCTTCATTGTCATCACCAATAATTATGTCTTCCTCCTCGGAATATTCTTCCACCACCATTTCCTCATCAATCGAGCATTCCGATTCATCCTCATTTTCTTCCCAATCACTTGATTCACTCATTTTTTTTTATTCAGACAAAGCGAAACACGTCACTTTCGAATAGATTGAATTTGAAATATGGATGGCTTCAAAAATAAACAAATCACGCTAAAACAAGAAACACTACTTGTGCCGTTCGCATAACGGGTTATAAAATGTTACAAGGCTATCTTGATGTAACATGTTATAACTCCGTAGTGCAAACATAGAATTACAGTAAAAAATGTGTTAGTACACACACAACAAAGCTATTCAATATTTCACAAAACCATCTGCACATTTGTCAATGGGCTTATTGGGTAATATAACATTGTACAATGTACTAAGAAACTGTGATCAAATTCACATACATGTATGTAATATTGTATCTGCTTTTAGCAATTTTGAAATATGGATTACATAGATTTATATTACATTTTTACACATTACATTACAACTTTTTTACAG